TCCGTGCCCGGCCCACCCGGAACTCGAGTCTGCATCTGTCCGGGAATCATCACCGGCTCCGCGAGGCCCTGACCCCGACGGCCCTTCCCCGCTCCGGAGCCCCAAGGCGTGCCCACCATTGTCCTGGTGGCTGCTGCCAGTCGCCCCTGGGCTCCGGATAAGGGCGCCTTCTGAGCCGGTGTCCCCAGGCTCGGTCTTGGTTGGCCGCTCGGAAGCTCCACCGCCCTGGCTGCTGCTGTCCAGGGCCTCGTGGTGTTCACTGTCCAGGCACGAGCTGCCACCGTCCCCGCCCGACGTGTCCGCATCCCTGCCGGGAGCCGAGGGTCCCCGCTCCTTTCCTCTCCTGCGGCGGCCGCGCTTGGGGAGTCTCTGCTCCTCCCGGAGCTCCCCACGGCTGTCCCCGGGCTCACGACTCTCCGTGGGCCTGCGGCCCCGAGGACGCTGCGAGCTGCCCTGCCTCTCCCGGGTCTCCTCGGTAGACTTCCTGCGGCCTCCAGAGGTCCCCTCGTCTTCGGTGGCGTCGGGCTCCTTAGCGGGCCTAGCCTTGTGGGCTTTGCCGCGGGCAAGCCTGCGATCCCGGCTGGGGGCGCCGTCCGCGCTGGCGGACCCCGACTCCTGCTCCGCTGAGGCTGGCCTCCTGGGTTGAGCCCGGCGCTGGGGCGCTTTGCCCTTGCTTCCGCCCATGACTTCCTTCCCAACGTCTTGCTCCTTTTGCGTTTTGATCCGACTCCCCACAGTTGCCCTGAGCTCCTGGGTGCTGGACGCTGTCTGCTCCGGCCTGGTTATGGGCTCAATCTGTCCCGAGTCTCTCCTCTTAGGCTGCAGCATCAATAATGCAGGAGGCAGCAGGTCCTGACCCCCTTGGTCAACAATGGATGGAGGCTGCGGAAAGAGGAGATGCTGCAGCTGTGGACAAAGGCCGTGGACAGGGCAACGGCGCCCGGACTCCCTGCCAGGCACCAGGCCAGACTGAGAGCCCAGGTTCTCCTTCAGTCTCACTCCCTGTCTGCCAAGAGGGGCAGTGTAAAGTGCTTCTACCTGGGGGCCTTCCGGGAGGCTGGGACCACGGCTACAGGTCTATTCTTTTCTACTGTGAAATGCAATTTACTAAAAGTGCATAAGATAGGAGTATACACCCTGGGGTAAAGCCTGTGCACTCCTCTGGAGTTATGAACATAACTAGACTCGTGGGTGATAGAAGTCAAGCCCTAGTCTCCTAGAAGAGCAGCCAGTGCTCTCAAATCTCATCAGCCTCAAAGGCAATTTACCACAAGTGGAGACTTACTTAGCTCCCAGATCTTTGTGGATTCTTTTTCCCATCTTGGGATCAGAACCGAGGAAGAGCCCCGTGGATTCCAGGCAAGTCCTCTGCTAACTGAGCTACATACCCAGGCCTCTCGTTCACCCAACAGTTTACCTTGGAGGTTGTTATAACACATATTGAGAAGCCCAGAGGTGGTGGTGCAGGTCTTTAATCCCTGCACTTGGGAAGCAGAGGCAGGTGGATCTCTGCGAGTTGGAGGCCAGCCTTGTCTACAAAGTGACGTCCAGGACAGCCAGTGCTACACAGAGAAACGCTGTCTCGAAGAAACACACAAATAAACAAAAAGCAAAAAACAAAAACAAAAACAAAAAAAAAACAAAAAAAACCAAGCAAACAACATGGATGGCTTCCTCCTCTTCCTTTTCAGCTGCTCAGCATTGTGATGAATTAATGTACTCTAGTTTAACCAATTGTTACTGATAGATCTTTAAAATTGTAGTGTGTGTGTGTACCCGAACATAGCACGGTCCATGTGTGCGGTCAGAGGAGTCAGTTCTTTCTTTTTACCCTGTGGGTCCTGGGGGTTGAACCCAGGCTGTGAGGCTTGGCACCAAACTTGTAGGTCCTTTGTTTCGAGACAGGGTTTCTCTGTGTAGCTTTGGAGGCTGTCCTGGCACTCACTCTGGAGACCAGGCTGGCCTCGAACTCACAGAGCTCCGCCTGCCTCTGCCTCCCGAGTGCTGGGATTAGAGACATTCGCCACTAACGCCTGGCTCATTGATGGCTTTTTAAAAAATTTAAATTTTATTTTAGTTTTTGAGACGGTCTCTCTACATTTAGCCATGGCTGTCCTGGAACTCACTGTGTGGACCAGGCTGGCCTCTGACAGATCAGCCTGCCTCTGACTCCCAAGTGCTGAGGTCAAAGGTGTGTATTACCACCGACCAGCTATAATGGATTTTTTTTTGAAGATTTTATTTATTTATTATGTATACAACATTCTGCTTCCATGTATATCTGCACACCAGAAGAGGGCACCAGATCTCATAACAGATGGTTGTGAGCCACCATGTGGTTGCTGGAAATTGAACTCAGGACCTCTGGAAGAGCAGGACCTCTGAGCCATCTCTACAGCCCCCTGGATTTTTTATTAATTAAATTTATTCATTTATTTTACATCCGGTCCTCTCTTCCAATTCCTTCCTCCTAGATTTTTTAAAAACTGAGTAGCGGGGTTGGAGAGATGGCTCAGTGGTTAAGAGCACTGACTGCTCTTCCAGAGGTCCTGAGTTCAATTCCCAGCAACCAGATGAAGGATCACAGACATCTATAATGAGATGTGGTGCCCTCTTTTGGACTGCAGGCAGAATAGTGTGTACATAGTAAATAATTCTTTAAAAAAAAATGCTGAGTTGATGCCATCTCATCTCACCTTTTGCTTCTGAGAGAGGGAGGGAGATGGTCATTGGTTAAGAGCTCTTGCTGCTCTTACTGTGCACCCAGGCTGGCTTTCCAGCACCCATGTGGTGGCTCAAAACCATCTGTAACTCCAGGGGATCCGATGCCCTCTTCTGACCTCTGAGGCCAGCAGGCACACACGCAGTACACAAACACAAGTGCTGGCAACACCCATACATATAAAGTAAGGGATCATCTTTTGCTTATGTTATGAACAGTCCTGGGGTATAATTTCACCCAAGCGGAATTAACTCCTAGAGTGAGTCTTGCTGGACCATGGGCTGTGTGTGTTTGTTTGTTTTTGAGATTTCTAAATTTTCTTCCATAGAGGTTGTTCCAACTTACACTCAGGAGGAAGCAAGTGTCCCAAAGGACCACAAGTTCATGGACAGCCCCAGCTGCCCAAAGATAGCTGCAAGAGGCAGAACCTGCTGCCAGCAGTTATTCAAAGGGCTGTGCATCCAGTAAAAAGCAGAACGTTCACATGGTGGATTCTCACACAGCGAGGAGAGCCACTTATGAGAGCACTGGTGATGACATGGGTAATCTTGTGTACAGAATGCTGTGTGAAACAGCCAGGCATGGGAGGGCAATCAGCAAGGGATTCTATTGATAGGCAGGGCAAACACCCAAAGCAAGGGTCTGCAGCAGGACCCCAGGTACCCATGATGGCGTGCGTTCACTTTATGGAGACTTATCTAGCTGATGACTATGATCTATGTAGGATTACTATGATTCTCTAAAGATTTTTATTTATTTATTTATTATGTACACAGTGTTCTGCCTGCATGTATCCCTGTAGGCCAGAAGAGGGCACCAGACTACATTACAGGTGGTTGTGAGCCACCATGTGGTTGCTGGAAATTGAACTCAGGACCTCTGGAAGAACAGGCAGTGCTCTTAAGCCCTGAGCCATCTCTCCAGAACTCACTGGACCCTTGGGGCAGGTACTACACGGTGCACTATGTGGACCAGACAGACCTCAGAGGCACACAACTGATGTTAAACTGGGACACCATTCCAGTCTGTCCCAGGGACCCTGCTGGCAAATGGCTGGGAGGCAATGCCATTGCTGACCAGTGGAACTCTAGTTCCTTGTTGGTCCTTTGAGCTCATGGACAAACTCTCAAACAAATGGAAGTCTCTGTGCTCCCATGGGTTTTCTGGTCCTCCTGGTGACCCAGAAGTAATATATATTATATTGGTAAGTGGTTGGCTTTTTTGTTTTGTTTTGTTTTGGTTTTTGGTTTTCCGAGATAGGGTTTTCTCTGTGTAACAATCCTGGCTGTCCTGGAACTCACTCTGTAGACCAGGCTGAACTCACAGAGACCCGCCTGCCTCTGCCTCCCGGGTGCTGGGATTAAAGGGGTGTGCCCCCAATGCCTGGCTTTTTTTTTTTTTTTAAAATTTTTTTTTTTTTTTATATACACAACATTCTGCTTCCATGCATATCTGCACACCAGAAGAGGGCACCAGATCTCATAACGGATGGTTGTGAGCCACCATGTGGTTTCTGGGAATTGAACTCAGGACCTCTGGAAGAGCAGTCAGCACTCTTAACCTCTGAGCCATCCCTCCAGCCCCGAATCTACTGATATTTTAATCTGCAGTCCCATGGACCCACAGTCGATGCTATGCTGGCCACTTAGGCCATGGCCTGGAGGGACTTCCAGTCCTGCAGCTGAGGCAGAGCAGGGGCTGAGATACATAGGTTGAAACTAAGTCTCTATGGTTTTATTTACCACAAAGTCAGATGGGGTGAAAACCTCCTAGATCAGAGAGGCTGTGTGAGAAGCAACCAGCTGACCTTGCTTTTTGGCTGGAGATGCAGCAGGCCATGTCTCTTCACTGGTCCCAAACCCAAAACAAGTGCCACACCCAAGTCCCCGCCCTCTCCTTCCTGTGTGTCTTCTCTATCCAAACTGCTGGCTTCTTCTATGGTCAATTCCGGTCAGCTACTCACCAGCTCCACCCCTGATGCAAGGTAAACTTTATCTAACAGTCTCGGAGTGTCACAGTCCGATCAATTCCCACAACACAGCCCAGCTGGATTTGTCAGCTGTTTATATCCTACATAAAGGGGCAGAGTGGGGTGTGAGATTCTTGCCCATCTCTACCACCACCAGCTCTGCTTTAACTGCACATGGCCTGCGGGAGGGACCACTCTGGGGTCGCCACCAGCATGGGGTCTCCATTACTGCAGGGAAGCTCTCATCCTTGCTGGGTAAAGGCTTTTTAGGGCAGTCTGTTGGGGGGAGGGCTACCCACACCTCTGTGGGTAACCCCTCATCTGTGCTCTGTGAGGAAGTTCGCCCAGGGTGAACTTCAGCAGGTCATGCCTCAGTTTGTCTCTGGGACCTCAGGAGGAGGGATGGATGCTCTTGCACGAACCCCCACCCCCACCCCCAGAAGGCATTTTAGCAATATTTGATGACTCGAACACTTAAAGAGGAGGTTCTCTGACCAACTCTGAGCTGGAGATGGACTCACACCATGGAAAACTCATCCTCGGCTTATTTCAGTGAAGACATAACGAGGTGTTTATTAAAAACTCTGTTTTACTCAGAGGCAGTTAAAATTTATAATTTAAAACCCAACCCACTACAAAAGGGGGGGGGGCGGAGAATAAAAACTGTGCAACATTCACAAAAGGACAAGACAGACGAGGCCAGGAGTGGGGTTTCCCTCCCCTGAGGCCAGGAGCAGCAACAGGGTGTCGACCAGGGCAGACCCTGGCCAGGCTCGGGCTGGAAAGGCCCTCAGTAGTGTGTGTTCATCTCACAGCCTGGACGCTGTCCCATTCACTCTGCTGTAGAAGGACATGGGGAAACAGTAGGTCAGGAGCATTCTAGGCAGGATAGAGTCACAGTCACCCACCCTGAGCCCCCAATACCATTGGTGATTTCCAGGGCTAAGATGGCCCTGGAAGTCTGTTGGGACCTGGAAGGGTGGCAATTAGGGCCCTTCTTCCCGTCCCTTCCTGGGCAGTAGGCCCTCCCTCCCCTGGAGGGCCCATGGCCCTACCTTCCCCATTGCTGAGGCTATGTCCCACAGCCATGCGGTGAGAACGCCAATTGCCATAACTCCTGAAGTGGCAAAGACAGGGAGATCACCATCCATGGGTGGCCCTGTCCTCCAAGTCCCCATTCTCCCAGCACTGCAGTGACTTACCCCCGGTCCCCCTCCAGGGTGCTCTGGATTTCCTTTAGGACCCCTGCTGGATATGAGAGACCCAGTGAGGCCTGTGCAGATAAGGCCAAACACTGTCTCTTTTACCAGTGGGGTGCCGACAGGCTTGTCCCTGGCCCACAGAAAGTGCTCCTGGCTTCCTCTGGCCTTCCTGAGCTTTGCTTCCCCCGCCTCATATGAGCCTCACCAACCCACCACACCGACTCACACTCGTCATTGAGCAGTGCGTGCTCCATCACCGGGCCAGGCTTCTTCTCTGGAAGGCAGAGTGATCAGATATGCCTGTCCTGGGCCCTCAGCCCAGCCCTCTCATTACAGGGGTTAAGGGAGTGAGTGCTGGAAGCCAGAGCCCCAGATGCAGAAAAAGGTTCCTTCCTGCTCCCAGCCTGAACTCTTCTCACTCACCCTTAGCCCCTTGCCTCCCTTTACCACAGTCTAGCCAGCTGTGGCCCAGGTGTGCCCCACATAGCAGCCCGAGAGTCCTGTCTTACCTTCGCTGTCACTTTGGCTTCCTGAGTTCCTGTAGAGGGGCAGATAGTGAGGGCTGGGACTACTAAGCTCTGAAAAACCTCAGTCCCATGAGGTCAACCTGCTTGACTAGGTCTGAGCAAGGGCGGGGGTCTACACTGGCAGCTGGCCCCGGAATGAGGGTGTCTTGGCCAGTCAGCAGACACCTCAGGAAGCGCAAGGCTGTGGAAAGACCTCAGGGCCCTCCTCCTCACCTGACTTGGCCTGAGGTTCTTTTGGGACCTGTGCTGTTGCCATTACTGGGGCGGCTGTGGTTCTTAGTTTTGGTTGAATCCACCAAACACCGGGGCTCAACCAGCCACTTGGTGGAGAGAGAAAAGCGCTCGAACTCTGAGGGTGATATCAGGTAGAAACCTGAGGAGAGGCAAAGAAACCTTGAGTAAAACTATCCCAGGGCTCCTGGGCCCTCGGCTGTGGCAGGGCCTCCCTCCGGGGGATGCGGACAGAGCCTCCTTTGATGCTCTTCACTCAGGGAGGGCAGAGCCAGCCTGGCCAAGCCCCACATCTGAGCTGTTCTTGCCTCTCCCCACTTCTCTCGCCCAGCCCTGCCCTGCTCCCTGAGGCCCCAGTCCACGCCTGCACACCTTGGCCATATTTGGTGAAGACACAGGAGGCAATGCCACTGACGTCCTCCCGTCGGATGCAGCTGTATCGCACCTGGGGCTTGAGCAGGGGCACTGAGACCACCTGGATGTCACCCAAGTTGGTGAGCACTGCCAGGTGGTGCTCCCCGTAGTCCTCAGCCCTGCAGCTGCCAAAGTGAGCAACACCAACTCTTCGTACCCGTGAGCCCTCCAGGGCCGTCAGCTTCAGCTTCAGCTTGGCACTCACCTTGGGCAATGTGAACACCTGGGCACATAGGGCAGCTGGGCGTGAGTCACACCAGGACCACACTGTGGTTCTCCTACCCGTGACTACCATTGGGAGCTTGTCCTTTAGCAGACACTTTACGGTGTGCAACAAGCTCATCTGGGTCTTAACGCCTCGCAGCTCTCAGATGCAGATCTTGGGCCAGGAGGGATCATGGCCACTGATTGGGCATTCTGTGCCCCCCACAGACTCGGGTGCCACCCAGTGTTCCGACCATTAGGTCTAAGACTGACACACACAAGACCTGCCCCACCCCTTTCCCCATGACTCTAAAGCAAATGCCTAACTCCAAATGAGAACCTTTGTCCCAGCTATCATTATTTGTGTTAAGGAGCTGAACTCTACTGATGTCTTAGGGACATTAGTGGACCCTGCCATGTGGCACCTTGAATTGTTCCTCTGACACCACAAGCAACTGGTGGCTCCCTTGCATGTCTGGGCTCTTGGACAGGTCGTGGGCTACTTCCAGGGGCTCGGGAAGGGGTACACTGCGTCCGTCAAGCACCACGATGCCCACCACAGGTGCACGATGCATCAGCTGGATCTCCTTGGCTACAAAGGAGGCAGGGTGGCAAAGAGGCAGTTTGGGGACAGGGCTATGACAAGCGGCTCAGTGACACCACACACCACCCAACCCAAGTAGGTCAGGCCCCCTGGGTTTTCCTGCTTATCACTCACCCTGCTCAGCCCGAACCGGCTCATCCATTCTCCGCTCTGCAGGAGGCACACGTAGGGAAAAGGCATAGACGGTACCTCCATTGGTGCCAGCCCACAGTGAAGGGCAGTGGCGGGAGCCTGTCAAAAAGTAAAGGTTTGGGTATCTAACCCTAGGCTCTGATTGCTGAGTGGGGCTGGCGACCTGGGCTTCCACCCCAAGCCTTGCTACTGAAATGCTAAAGTCAAGTTGGCAAGGGTCTTCAAGCTTCAGTTCCCTCCCCTGTAAAACAGACATGCGGGGCTGGAGCAATGGCTCAGTGGTTAACAGCACTGGCTGCTCTTCCAGGTCTTGAGTTCAATTCCCTGCAACTACATGGTGGCTCCCAACCATCTGTAATGAGATCTGGTGCCCTCTTCTGGCCTGGGGGCAGACGTGCAGGCAGAACACTGTACATGATAATCATCGGGCTCCCCACACAGACGATACTGAACCTGAGGCAGCTCTGCCCTTGCAGGGACACACCAGTGCAGGGACACACCAGTGCAGGGACACACCAGTGGCACACATCCGGCAGGGACAAACGCTTCCACATGCCTACGGAGTAGCATCAGGAACCATGCCACCCCCAACCCCATGGAGCTAGAAGACAGCAGTCCTGTTTTACATGAGAGGACGCTGAGGACCAGAAAGGTTAGGTGATACGTCTAAGGCCAGGCTTCTTGAGATCAGTGGAGGAAGGCTATGAAACCAGGAAACTGACTGGCAAGCCCAGGAGGAGAAGGGAGAGAAGCAGCATTGGCTCTGGTTTCTGTCTGCAGCAGATAGGCCTTCAAGGGTCCCAGGCAGGCAGCACTGCCTATGCGATTTCCCACTGGGAGCACCCATCTACCTCATGCCAGAGAGTCCACCTACCCACGCCCTCAAGCTAGGGGTGTCTCCTACCACGATGTGTTCTACGCCCCTGACCTCAGGCTGGCTACTCACTGTCCCTTAGGTAGGTGTCAGCAAAATAGAGGGTGCGAACAAAGCCAGTGAAAGAGTCCTCTGCCGAGCGGGCCTCGATCTTGCGCTGCACTGGTGCCAACTCCATGTTCTGCAGGCCTGTCCGCTCCACCTTGGCACTCATAGCCTGAGCTTGAGCCTGCAAGAAGTTGGGCTGGGCCTGAGGGTGGGCTCTTGCCTCTGCTCTTTAGGCACTGACTTATTCAGTGCTAATCCTTCCAGGGAAAGGGTGGCCATAGCCAAGCCAACCACCTGACTGCCTGGGCCCAAGCGGACTTTGTCCAAGTAAGAGGTTCCCTGAGGAGAACTTGCCTGACTTCTCAGCATTTCATGGGTAGGAAGGGACAGGAAAATAATGAGACAATTGTACTGGCTAAATTTATGTCAACTTGACACAGGTTAGAGTCACCTGAGAGGAGGGAGCCCCGGTTGAGAAAATGCCTCCCTAAAACTGGTCCTAGGCAAGCCTATAGGGCATTTTCTTAATTAGTGACTGATGGGGGAGGGTCCAGCCCATTTTGGGTGGTACCACTCCTAGGCTGGTGGTCCTAGGCTCTATAAGAAAGCAGGCTGAGTCAGCCATGGGGAGCAAGTCAGTAAGCAGCACCCCTCCATGGCCTCTGCATCAGCTCCTGCCTCCAGGTTCCTGCCCTGCTTGAGTTCCTGCCCTGGCTTCCCTCAGTAATGAACAGTGATGTGGAAGTGTGAGCAGAATAAGCCTTTTCCTCCATGACTTGCTTTTGGTCATGGTGTCTCATCTCAGCAATAGTGACCCTGACTAAGACAGCGTCATGAATATTTACTTGGGGCTTATCTCTAAGGTAAGGATCACAGCTGTGGCTTTCTGGGTGTGGGAAAGCGGAGGCACAATGCAGCATTTGTTTTAGTGGGTGGTGAACCTGCGCGGTCTAGATTCAGAGCATGTGCTCATAGCCCAGGGAGAGAGCGAGCTGTATGGTCGTGTAGATGGCTGCTATGAGCCCTGGGCCTTACCTCTCCTGTGGGGCCACCAGGCCGCCGTTTATGACTGGACACTCTGCTGCGGCGCATTCGTCGGAATGACTGACGCAGAGACTTCTTGAGGGACTTTACTCGAGACAGTGGGCCCTCCAAGGCCAGCTGGTCACTGGGGTGCAGTGTGCACCTTGAGAGAGGGAGCAGTCAGTCAGGTGAGGCCATCAACACTACAGGGCCCCAAGGTCCTCACAAGGTCCCAGGCCCAATCTCCAGCCCCAAATGCCCTGCTTACTTGACAAAGACCTGCCGCCTCTGCTGGTGGTCAAAGAGGCCGAAGCCGTGACTGGTGCCAAAAGCTACAAGCCGCCACTCAGAGTGCAGAGCCAAGGAGGTGACCACAGCTGGGGGCTGGCACTGCACCAATACAAAGGGCTGAAAGCCTGGCTCAAAGCACACGGGCCCTGGGCGGGCGGTGAGGCGCTCGTGCCCCTTCCAGCGGTAGCCTTCCTGGTCCTGAAGCAGGTCGGCCTCCACGTACTCCACGGCATGCTCTGCTGCCTCATCATTCAGCTCCAGCACCAGCACCTGGGGTGGGGGTGGGGGCAGAGTGTTCAACAGAGCCCAGGCACCACAGCACAGCAAAGGACTTAGGACCCAAGCCAAAGCCCTCTGCCTGACTCCAGCCCAAATTCTCATTTCTGGAGGGAGAGCATAAGTCACTCTTGGGGCCACTCACTATCAGAATCAAGCATCCTGCTCCTGATGTTGCTGCTGGGTAGGGGTCCTGTTCCCCTGTGCAAAGCCGCCACCCAACCACTCCACCCTCAACCCCGATCCTGCCCAGCCTGCTACCTGCCCTGCGGTGCCTGCCACAGCCAGGTAGCCACTGTATTTACAGAGGAAAATCTTCTGGATGCCCAGCCGAGGATCGTCACTGTAGGGATCAAAGGAGCCCACCTGCCAAGATAGGGAGAGGCCTGTGAGTGGCCATGGGCCTGGCCTAGCTTGGTTCCCTACACCCCTCGTTCCCAGGCTCCTGGCCTCACCTTGCGGAGTGGAGGCCACTCATCCTCACCCTGGGTACTGAGGTTCTCGTTGAGGTCTGTATCTGTGAGGAACACTCTCACCGTGCTGAGTTTGTACAGCAGTCGTAAGCAGACGCCCGAGGCATCCCAGAACCGCACCGTGCCATCCTCATGCCTACAGACAGCGCGGTGAGCGCTATGTCAGCCAAGGTGCCTGGGGTCTGGAATGCACAACCCAGGGCTCTGCTCCCACCCGCCATGTCCTCCTTGGAGAGGGAAAGTAGCCACTGAAGTCACCTACCCTGTGAGCAGAAGGTCCCTCTGGGGTGGAGGGGGGGCCAGGTTGGTGCCACCATCTATGGGCCACTCCTAGAAGAGATCACAAAGTCCAAGAGAACCTGGGCCCAAGTCAGGGATGGGCCTGGGGCCAGGGCTGGACCTACCATGGAGGAGAAGAGCAAGGTCTGGCGGCTGCCTGAGGCGATGACGCGCTCCCACAGCTTCAGGGGGATGTTGGAGACGTGGTGAGAGCAGGTAATGGCCGAGCAGTGCAGGGAGGCTAGGTACGGCAGCTGCACCCGGGGCCAGCCCGCCGTCTGCAGGTCAAGCACCACCAGCTCCTCCTCTGCGAGCACCACCAGGGCGTAGGGGTCATCAAAGGCTGGAGCACAGGCAAACAGGGGTAGGAAGAGGCAGCCGGCCCCATCTGACCCCAAGATAAAGCTGCAGGCTGGGGGCCGGATCCATCTATCTATATTGCTTGTCTTGTGAAAAATAAGAGCTCCAAGCATGCCGGGCATTGGTGGCGCACGCCTTTAATCCCAGCACTCAGGAGGCAGAGGCCGGTGGATCTGTGAGTTTGAGGCCAGCCTTACAGAGCAAGTTCCAGGACAGACAAGGCTACATAGAGAAAAAAAAAAGAGCTACAAGCAGAAGTGCTACAATCAAGGCCTCTCTGCATGGCTGCCCCAGGGATCAGTGTCCCTGAAAACCAAACAAGAGCTCAGTCAGGCATGGGGCAGCTAAAAGTGCTGGCTTTGGAAATTCTTTTTATTTATTTATTTTGTATAGTCTTCAGTCTGCACACCAGCAGAGGGCACCAGATCTCATTTAAGGTGGTTGTGAGCCATCACGTGGTTGCTGGGAATTGAACTCAGAACCTCTGGAAGAACAGTCAGTGCTCTTAACCTGACTTTGGAAATTCTAATGTTTAGCCTTGATGGATGACCTGATCTGTCAAGGGAGACGTCCTAAGTGTTTTCTCTGCCTAGGGCCTCAGTTTGCCCTGTAGGCCTAAAGCAGGGACAGGCAGCAAGTCACCAAGTGTGTCTTTGTCCCCATAGAGTAGCCCTCAGGCTTCAACCTGTGGACTGCTTGTCAGGGCAGACCCGAGAAGAGGGAACAACTCTAAAAAACAGAGCACGAGGAGGGAGGAGAGGCTGAGAAGGAAACACAGGCCTGGGGTCTCCCTGGGTAGGGGAGACCAGAAGACTCCAAGTCAGCAGTGACTGGAGCAGCCCCAGCTCCGCCCCCGGAGGCCCTCTGCTGGGGAGGTCAAGGTCACTGGCAAGGGAGGCTTCATTTTTTCAACTGCTCAGAACCCCAGCTCCTAATGCTCGCTTACCTGCTGCAGGGTCGGCCTCTGTGAGGACTGTGAAGTCAATGACACGGGAAGTGAAGTCAAAGGCTGTCTGCTGGCCATTGTGGACCACTGAGATGCAGTGGCGGTCCCCATAACTGGCACGCGGCATACCGCCCTGGAAGACGATGAAGGGCAACCTGCAGGCACAGGAGAAAGGTGGGCCGGGCTGGTGGCTGGGACCTGCTGAGGCATACAGGGCAGTGGCCAGCCCTTGTGGGCTGGGCTGGAGGCTGGGGGATCCCAGAGCCTGAAGGGAAGCCAGTCTCCAGAGTGGCTGGAGGCAAAAGAGGAGATCCCATCTCTTCCCAACTGCAATAGTCTAGGAGGACTTGGAGGTGAGGTAGGGCACCTGGACGAGGAGCCGTCTCTACTCTTCTACAGTGGCCTCCTAAACTGTCCCCACACCAGGTCTCACTATATACAATTTCTTCTGAAGAAACAGGGCAGGGCCACAAGAGTATGGAACTCTGACAGCATCTCTCTGGGAAGGCTGAAGGCAGGGATGGATTGGATTTTCCAAGGACTATCCACTGAGAGGTGGGATGACAAATCTGACACCCTACCCCACCCCGTTTCCCTGGGACCAAGACCCCAGAAGTCCTCACTAGACACTGACTCCCCAGGTAGGAGCCCACAGGTCTTCCCAGGGAAGCCGTACAAATCGGGAAGGAGAAGGCATCGGCACTCACCCTTGCCTGGTGGTAAGCCAGAAGATTTTGGTTATAGCCTTGCAAGGAAAGGGACCTAAAAGAAAAGGTGTTAGCTTGAGTGGCTCTCCCACAACATCTAGATCTCTTTCTCTGGGCACTTCCCTGAAGCAGCCACAGTGGGGACCAGAAAACCAGCTGTGTGGCATTGAACCAAGCCCTGAACCTCTCTGGGCCCAGATTCTGCTTTTGTGAGCTAGCCAGCATACACCTGAGTCCAGGAAAGACCAGAGGTGCTCCTCAGGCAGACCAGGTTAGACTCTCTGGGCAGAAGCACTGACCGTAAGGTATGGAGCTGCGCAGGGGATCTGGGTTCTGGGTGTCACTGGACACGGGCCACTGGCAGTGGCTGCCGTCGGAGTGGCAGGTGACAATCAGGCAGCCATCCCGCTGCCAGCTGGCATTCTCCAGTTGCTTTGGAGGAGGAGAGGAAGGAAGAGATCAGACAGGGATCAGGACAACAGTCTACACATGGACCTGGGAGAGTCACTCTCCCAGCATCACCTACCTGGTTGCTGAGGAAATGGGAAAGAACACGATTGCCCTGAAGGTCCCAGATGACAACGAGGCCTCGGCTGTAGCCAATGAGGATTTGGTTGGGGTCACGAGGGTGCTCCTGCAGAGCCTCCACCATCTCGAACACTCTGCGGTGGCGGGCCTCCTCTGGCAGCCTAGGCAAGGGAGAGCCATGAGCCCATGCAGCAGTGAGTACCCCACATGCTAGCCTGGGAAGATGGTGGGGCCAGCCACACCACAGCGGGGGTCATGTACAGTAAGACGTGGTATTTATATATTCAAACACGAGACACACACACACACACACACACACACACACACACACACACACACACACACACACACACGCGCGCGCGCGCACGCTCGGGGGCAGGTGTGACAGTAGACACAACCCCAAAACTTAGGAGCTGGAAGGATCAGGTGTTGTTCAAGATCAAATGTAGTTGTACAGAAGTTTGAAGCTAGTCTGGGCCACGTGAGACTCAAATCTTCACAGATAAAATAAGTCTGCTGAGTGTGGTGTTGCACGCCTTTCATCCCAGCATTCGGGAGGCAGAGGCAGATGAACCTCCGTTAGTTCCAGACCAGTCTGGTCTATTTGGCAGGTCTGGGACAGTCAGGGCTGCATAGAGACCCTGTCTCAACCCACCCCACCAAAAAGATGATTTTTGAGCTGGGTGTTGGTGGCGCACGCCTTTAATCCCAGCACTTGGGAGGCAGAGGCAGGCTAATCTATGTGAGTTCAAGGCCAGCCTGGTCTACAAGAGCGAGTGCCAGGATAGGCTCCAAAGCTACAGAGAAACCCTGTCTCAAAAAACCAAAAAAAAAAAAAAAATGATGATTTTTATTGTTCTTAATGATGTACACATGTGTTCACATATGTCTAGGCATGTGCTCACAAATGCTGGTGTCAGGGGAGGCCTGAGGCATCGGATCCCTTGGGAGCTGGAGCTAAGGCGCTTGTGAGGCACCTGACGTTGGTGTTGGGGACTGAAGTTTCGTCCCTCTGCAAGAGCAGGGAGCCATGTGACCAGCCTCCAAGACATTTTTTATGCATGCAAGTAACATTTACATGAATTTAAGTTGTGGGACAACTAAATGTGCTTATTTTAAGTATCCTTTTGAAAGTTTTATTAGATGCATTTATTTTATGTGTATGAGTATACCATGTATGTTCAGTGCCCATGGAGGTCAGAAGAGGGTGTCAGGTCCCCTAGAATTGGAGTCACAGATGGTTGTGAGCCACCCTGTGGGTGCTGGAAATTGACCCCGGGTCCTCTGGAAGAGCTGAGCCATCTCTCCAGCCCTGGAAACAATCGTTTGAAGCCGATTCTCTCCTACCTTTCCCCGAGTCCCAGGGATCAAATCAGAATGTCAGGCTTGAGTGGCCAGTGTTAAACTTTACCTGCTGAGCCATCTTGATGGCCTTTTTGTGCTGTTGTTGTATGGTGCATGTGTGCATATGCGGTCATGCATGTATGACATGTGTGGGGGGATGCCCATGTGGAGGCCAGAAGTTGACATTGAGAGTCCTCCTCAATCATTCTCTGCCTTATTTTTGAGACAGGATCTCTTTGTTGAACCTGGAACTTACTGGTTCAGCTAGACAGGCTGGTCAGTGAGCTGGACACGCTCTGGTCCCCACATCCCCAGCTCTGTGATTACAGACATACTACTGTACCGGATTCCTCCCCCCACCCCTTTTTTTTTTTGGTGGTGGTGGTGGTGGGGACAGTGTTTGAGACAGAGTTTCTCTGTGTAGCCCTGGCTGTCCTGGAACTCACTCTGTAGACCAGGCTGGCCTCAAACTCAGAGATCGCCTGCCTCTGCCTCCCAAGTGCTGGGATTAAAGGCGTGCACCACCACTGCCAGACTGGCTAAGACCTTCCTAATGAACACAAACAATATCATCAGGAATGAAAACTGCTGGGCAATTAGATGGTTTCCAGTCTTACGCCATTAAAAACAGCACCATGGGTGGGGTTCCACTCAGCAGTCGAGCACTTTCCCAGCAGGCCTTAGACTTGACCTCCAGCACATACCAACACAACACACACACAGAGAACACTCTACGATGACAATAATGAACCTCTGTCTTTTGTAGTATTTACCTCTGTGGTTAGAGGCCTTGTTGAATGGGATGTCATCAGACTTAAGGGATGAACAATTGAAAACCTTGGTGCCATGGCTGGCACCTATAATCCTAGCACTTATGAAGTGGAGATACAAAGATCTGGACACCATTCTTAGAGACATAGCATGTTTGGGGCCAGCCTGGGCTATGTGAGACCCTGTCTCACCCCCCCCACACACACACAAAATAAAAACCTATAAATGGTGAACAAAGACTTAGACTGGAAGAGGGAGTCTCAGGCACTGCAGCCCCTCCCTGACAGCCAGCTCACCATGGGGCGAGGGGCGCGGCTGGGCCTTCTGGTCCTCCCAATGTCCCGCCCACAGACTTGGCTCAGGCTAGTCGCCAACCATGCCACCTGTCACCTCACAAACTGCCTTGCTTTGACCTCAGGCATGCTGCCCTAGCCTCGTCCTGCCCTGCCCTGTCAAGCGGGAAAGCACAGGGGTTGGAGTCAGAAGGACCCCACCCCACACAGGAATCTCCCTAGCTAGCACTGCCGCTGGTGGACAGATGACTCCTGCTTCATCCCTGTGTGGAAACTAGGAGAGCCTGGTCTGCCAGCTGTCTGCACCCTGAGCCTGGTCTGGGGCCTCTAGAGTTGAGTCCCAGCACACTGGCCACCTACCTGGAAGTGCAGCATATCCAGGCCTGTCAAACTGGCCCGACAGCTCTTGTCCAACTCCTTTGCCCTCTAGAACCCTGTCACCCTCTGCATTCCCATCACTGCTCTGAATTCCTCTCCCTGCTAGATCCCTTGTCAAGCAGCAAGCCTCTGAAGAAACCGTAACAAACTTCCAGGCTTCTCGGCCACAAACCTCAGGCGTCAGCAGGAGCCGGCTCAGCACCCTCCCGGCACGCCGCCATCCGGGCACACCGCTATCCTGGGCCTGACCTGCCTTACCTTTTGCTATTATCATCATTGCTTTATGTATGCGTGTTTTGCCTTCATGTGTGTTTGTGCACCACATGTGTACAGTGCCCCTGGAGGGCACTGAGAAGAAGGCGTCAGATCCCCCGGAGAGGAGTTACAGACAGTCGTGAGCTACCATGTGGGATCTCTGAAAGGTCATCCAGTGCTCTTAACTCCTGAGCCATTCAGTCATTTTTAAAAATTTTTAAAATATTTTATTTCTTTATTATGTATACAATATTCTGCTTCCATGTCTATCTGCACAGCAGCAGAGGGCACCAGATCTCATTATAGGTGGTTGTGAGCCACCATGTGGTTGCTGGGAATTGAACTCAGGACCTCTGGAAGAACAGTGCTCTTACCCTCTGAGACATCTCTCCAGCCTACTTCAGTCATTTTTAATTTGGGTTGAGACATGGTTTCCTGGGTACCCAACTGGCCTGGAGCTCGTTATGCAGACCAGGCTGGCCTTAAACTCAAAGATCTGCCTACCTCTGCCTTCTGAGTGCTGACATTAAAGGCGCCCGTCACCACACCGAGCATTTCTCTCACCTTTAAATGAGGTGACAAAATTACTTCTATGACCACCCCCTCTACTGCTATGATGTTAATAGACACAGGTTGACAGATACTCAATTTAGGGGGTGGGTAGGAAGTTGAGACCCCTTAGACTTCCTGGGATAGAAATGACAATCGGAGCCCTTACTGCGGACCAACTGGAGGAGGCCGTGGCGCACTTGAGGCGCTGAGCAGCTCACCATTGCAGCACCGCCTCTGAGCTGATGGTCCTGTCATCCAGGGTTCGGAAGCCTGGCAGCTGCACCACAAACACGCTGCCACTCTCGGTGCCCAGGTAGAGCAGTTCCCTCGAGGAGTGAGGGAGGGTCTCAGTGATCTGTGTGGCACTGGGGGCAGCCCTGTGAACAGGGACGGCTGTGATGAGGGTTAGGGCTACGCAGGTGGGACCCCACGACTGCCCGGAATCTCTACCAGTCTCTGGAAGGCCTTGTTTAGGGAACACAGGTCCCTGAGGGCCTTGACTGGCTTCAGAGCATCCTGGGCTATGACAAATAATCAGTTTACATTCTGTCAAGGTAGGAGACAGGTAGCAGGGCACATGAGCTGTGGGGCAAGAAAGACTGAGGGTGCAGGAGTGGGAAGGGCACAGCCCATCGCAGTCTAGGAAGCCCCGCCCCCCATGAGACAGTGGCTTGGACACAGGCACTGCCAGTCATTCAACAAGACTTGCAAGAGATGAGCCCACCCTAGGGGAGAATACAGTAAGGAGGGGCCAGGAAAGAAAGGGGACCACCAGGTCCTTACCCCGGGGGGCCTCGCAAAGTGAAGCTCTCTTCTTCCTGCAGCTCTGACACCCCACCCTTGACCATCAGACTCCACCTGTGCAGGCTGTTGTCATCCAGCAGAGTGACCAGCTGACACTAGGGAGAGAATGGGGACAGGAGCTTGACAGAGACAACATTCTTCAAGGCCTTTACTTCCTGGGCAGCCCAGCCTGTGTTGGGTTTTTCAAGAAGCCCCAGGACAAAAACCCTTCTGTGTTTCTCAGGGTGGCTTTGGGCCTCCAGGTGGACAAAGGGAGGGAATTCCAGGAGCACCAAACCCAGTGCCACCCCCAACTCCACCTTGCCATATTACCCCTTCCAGAAGATGAGGCTAAGAGGGCATCCGGGAGGCCCCCCTCTCCACGCCCCTCCCGAAGCAGGTGCTCACCTGACCAGGCAGGAAGTGGATCTGCATCACAGCATTGTTCTCCTTGTGAAGCCCCATGAACTCTACCCCAGGGGCGCCGTATCTAGAAGGCTCAGGAAAACCTTGGGAAGCTGGACACCCCCCTCCTCAACCCTAGTGGTCTGTAGCCTGGGTAGCAAGGAGTGCAGCCAGGCAAGTGCCTGTGTGACCATCTCACAGAGCACAGGGTGGGGAGGCAGCAGTGGCCCTGCCCCAGGTTTCCCAGTCAGTGATATGACCCTGGGGACTGTTCCCCCAGCAGGATGGGTCAGGGGCAATTCCCCAGAAAGATGAAGCCCTGTCCTGGCAACAGTTAGGCTGTCACCCCTCCCCCCACCTCACCCCTGCAACATGAGCTGTAACAACAGACCTATCACCTGTCACCTGGTGGCACCTGCAGGAACATGGGGGGGGGTCACCCCCAGCAGCCTTGCCCTGAGTCTTGGCCCCAGCAGTGACTAGCAACCAGGATGTGGTCCTGGCTGGTAATGATTAACTAGATGGGAGAATGTTGGACTAGAATGGATTACAGCAGGGCTCGGGGCCCTGGCCTCCTGTGTATACACCAACCCAGCCACCTGGCACCTGTACTCTCTCTCACTGGGACAGAGTAGCAGGGGACTCAGGGGAGGACTTTGTGGGAGGAGGTGCAGCTCAGCTACCCAAGGTTGGCCCCTGTCTCCCAACTCCCCTAGGACTCTTTAGCACAGGGTGGAGTCAGACATCAGGAGTGCGGGGCATCGTCTAATAAGGCCCAGCTCATCCCAGACTAGCTAGAGGAGTTGTCCTGGGGCGGACTCACTTATATCCCACTCCCCACCGTGGTGGACAAAGGGCTACACAGCTAGGTGATGTCTAGTCCCAGGACAGGGAGGGCCTGTGTCTGCCAAGCAATGTCCATTCCCCTTTCAGGGATGTGTGGCTGCCCAGGTGCTAGCCCTACTGTCTGCCTAAGGCCATTCCACCTCGCCTGTGGACACAGAGCCCAGGCACAGTCTGCTCCAGCCTTTTGTGGGGACAGGCAAACATCTGTCCGTCTCCACTCACTCCTGAGTGGACGGGTGTCTGCACCATTCATTCCCAGGAGCGAAGGGCTGAGGGCAGCAATGGACTAGAGCCCAGGCCTCCCCAGAAAATGTCCACCTGTCTTTGAGATGCTCTCCCATAAGTCCTGTTGCCATCGAATCCTTTGTGGCATATTGGGAAGGCATTTCCACAACCTACTGGTCACTACTAGTACAGACTTCTTTGGGGTTTCCTGCCTTTAGTCTAGCCCCCTAAACCAAGTTTCTGGGCCCATACCCTGTTAAGGCAGAAGGACAAGATGCTGAGGCCAAGCCTGACTCCTCTGGGCAAGCTCCTAGTCACACAGGGTCCCAAATCAAGTAAGCACAGCTCAAGTCCTGAAACCTCCAGCTATGAGGGAACCCCAGCAGTCAGAACAGAAAATAAGCATCCCTCCCCCCAAGGACACGTAGCTTGCCATGTTAAGTTTCGCCCTGCTTTTGAACCAAGATCAAGCAGGGAAAGACAGACCCTCTGCAGGTCTCTCCTACCCCATGCCGCAGACCCCACCTGGGCCTCTCCCCATGGCAGCAGGCACTGGAAAGGATACAGCTTGATGGCTCCAGAGCGGGTGCCAATGGCCAGGATGTGTAGCGAAGGGCTATAGCCAAGGGCACTGGGCTGGTGTGGGAAGCCATGCTCCACCGTCTGCAATGAAAGCCACGTGGGTTGGGCCTGTGGACACGTCCTTCAAAACCCCATGTCCCCCTAGGGTTAGGGAAGGGCTGGGAAGCCACAGCTCAATCAAAACAGCAGGAAAAGGGGCTCTTCCCAGACAGAGTACTGGAGCTAAACCTGGCTCACTCATTTCTATAGTCCCTATCCCTAGCCACAGGGCCACTCCTGTGAGTTCACTGTCTCTGATGGCACCCAGGCCACCTGACACTCTCCAGAAACTCGTGCCTCTACCAAGAGCATTCTGGATCACACTCCAGCCTTCCTGAGTATCTGGGAGGTGCTGGAAGGTAGAGGAGACAATGGTTCCTCAGTAAAGATGTCTGGAGATGTCACAGTTCCAGGCCCACCCTGTGGCCTGAGGTCACCGTGGCATCCTTGGCTGGCTCTGGACTCCCATGTCATGGTGCGTCCTCGACCATCTTCCCAGACAGGAAACTTTCTGGAGTATGGCTGCAAGTTACATGCTTTTGTTCATTCCCTTTCACTAATTCCATCCATCCATCCATCCATCCATCCATCCATCCATCCATCCATCCCCATTCATTTATTTTGTGTGTCTATGTGGGCAGCTGGGTGGGTACTATATTCAGAGGTCAGAGGTCAACCCGTGGAAGTCTTTTTTTCCCTTCCATCCTGTGGGTCCTGAGGATCAAACTCAAGTGGTTAGGCTTGGTGGCAAGAGCCCTTTTCCTGTGTTTGCTACGTAAAGCTTGAAACTAGAATTCAATCACTGGAATTATGGAAAGGTGGAAGGAGAAAACTGCCTAACAAAGTTGTTCTCTGGCCTCGGTGTGGTGGGTGGCACATGCCTTTAATCCCAGTGGGAACTCTGAGTTTGAGCCTGATCTGCAAAGGGACAGCTAGGGACAGAGCGAAATCTGTATTGAAAATACACACGTGGGCCGGGTGTTGGTGGTGCACGCCTTTAGTCCCAGCTCGTGGGAGGTAGAGGCAGGTGGATCTCTGTGAGTTTGAGACCAGCCTGTTCTACAAGAGCTAGTTCCAGGACAGCCTCCAAAACCACAGAGAAACCCTGTCATGTCTCAAAAAAAAAAAAAAAAAAAAAAAAAAAAAAAAAAAAAAAAAAAAAAAGAAAAGAAAAGAAAGAAAGAAAGAAAGAAAGAAAATACACACACAGGCTGGAGAGATGGCTCCAGAGGTTAAGAGCACTGGCTGCTCTTCCAGAGGTTCTGAGTTCAATTCCCAGCAACCACATGGTGACTCACAACCATCTGTGATGAGATCTGGTGCCCTCTTCTGGCCAGCAGGTAGGCAGAATACTGCATACATAATAAATAAATAAATAAATCTTTTTTTAAAAAAAGAAAACACACACACACAAAGTTGTTCTCTGATCTCCACACAAGCAACCACATGTGAGATCACACACCATAACTATACACACACACACACACACACACATATATATGATGTATATATATAAAATATATATAAATTACATATATATGTAATCTTTTAAGGAGGAGGGAAAGACAGGGACTCTATTTTATGAAGCTTTAGCTGCCCTGGAACTCACTATGTAGACCAGGCTGGTCAGAGATCTACCTGCCTCTGCCTCCTTAATGCTGGGATTAAAGGGGTGTGTCATTGCAGCTGGTTATAAATAATTTTTGAAAAACACAGAGATGTGACTGGATCACACCACACCAACATTCCCACGCGTGTTCACGCACAGGTATAGCTTTTCGGTTGTTTATCTGCATGAGATCACCCAATGTTTAAAAGCTTTACAATGAACAGAGAATGGCTGGAGAATATTCCTGAGGAATGGCTGCCTCGCTCCCAGGGTTTCTGCAATGGTGAGGTGATCACGTCCTTGCCTGAAGCTCTGGGTGTCTGTGGAAGGAGCTATAGGCTGAAAGGGTGTGAATGTAAACACACCAGATGTGAGGACAAAGCATCCCTCAGGAGACTTGGGGCTCTGTTTCTCAACCAGCTACCTACCCCAAGGGGCAGATTCTGGCGACCTGGGTTGGAGTGGAGCACACTAATGGCAACCAGTTGCCTCATAAATGTCTTAGCTAAATCATCGACTCTGCAGTGTGGAGAAGGGTGTGGAGGCGGCCTCTCCAGCTCTCCTGAGCCAGCCTTATCAGACCGCCAAGCAGGACAGAGAGATAAGCTCTAGTGACAGCAGGCACCAGAAGGGAGCAAACTCATGGCGGCCTCCCCACAGTCCATCCCAGTGGCTTAGGGGAGGAGGTCAGTCAGGGAGAAAGGCTCTAACAGATGCCTCCTTGGGGTATCCCTGGGGCTGAAGGGGTGGGTGGATGGGGCAGGAACACAGTCTGCCTTGTAAAGGGCCATACCTGGATGGTCAGCCAGGAATGCAGGAACTCAGAGGGAACCCAGTCAGAGGCCCCCGGTCAGCCCCAGACCCTGTTCAGCTATGTGAAAAATGCAGAGCCTGGAAAAGCCTTGAGTAGATAGCTGAGTGTCTGGAATGCAAACATTTCCCAGAAAAAGGAGAGCAGAGAACTCACAGGTTGGTTGTGTGGGTGGAACAAGGGCTTACAGACCTCTGCTGGGCCTGGGCTGATTTTAGGTTGCTGAAGCCAGGAGAAGTTAGAGGCCTAGAGAAAGTTACAGAAACTAGCACTTTCCCCATTACCAACAGCAGTGGCAGCTTAGGCCAAAGCCGTTGGAATGTGGAATGAGCTGGAGGACCGTGGGGGGCGGGGAATGCCCTCAGGAGCTTGAGGCCCGGTGGGAGGCCCCACACCTTGAGCTGCCCAAACAGAAGCCGGGACAGAAGCCATGAACCAAAAGTGGCCCTTGCTCACTTGCAGGGCGGCAGCCGCTATGCCCAGGAGATAACTTTTAATGTTTCCTCTATTTTAATCAATTTAAACATATAAATGGGGATCCAAACTGCCTAGCGGTTCCCACCAGCAACCCCAGCACTCAGGGGGTGTGCAGGCAGGAGAGTTAGGGGTCCAAAGGTGGCCTGGGCTACATGAGAACATGCAGTTCCCCCACAGAGAAACATTTCAAGTGCCTTCACTGAAACAGTGTGAACCCCAACAAGACAGGGCAGGGCTCTGCGGGCCAGCCTTAGGCCTCACCTTTCAGCTGGAAGTCTCCAACTCTTAAAGCAGAGGCGGCTATTTTCTGTGTAGCCCTGGCTGTCCTGGAACTTGCTCTGGAGACCAGGCTAGCCTCAAACTGAGAGATCTGCCTGCCTCTGCCTCCCAAGCACTGGGACTAAATAAATCCTTTCCCAAACACACACATAAAGTAGTCAAAACATCTTATTAGTAATTCTACTGCCTACATGAAAAGACAATACTTAGGGTATATTAAATAGAATTATTATCTAAATTAATTCAATTATTTAGTGGCAGAAATTTTAAATTATAAACATGACTTCTTAAAAATAATTTACTTATTTTTATTTCATGTGCATTTGTGTTTGGCCTGCGTGTATGTCTCTGTGAAGGTGTCAGATCCCCTGAAACTGGAGTTACAGGCAGCTATGAGCTGCCATTCAGGTGCTGGGTATTGAACCCAGGTCCTCTGGAAGAGCAGCCAATATTCTTAACTGCTGTTTTTATTGTTTGTTTTTCGGGACAGAGTTTCTGTGTAACAGCTCTGGCTAGCCTGAACTCACTCTGTAGACCAGGCTAGCCCCTGCCTCCCTCCCAAGTGCCGGGATCAAAGGCATGCTTTTTCACTATCCAGCTCCCTGTTCTTCCAAAGGTCAGTTTAGAACAGGCACCCAGTCAGGCTCACCAAACCTCACTGGGGTGATACCCATGATGCCCTGAGCTTCGCTGCACTGAACACGAGGCATTTGGGGAATACAGTGAGTGTGTGTGGGGATTGCTCACCCAGTGAGAGCAACTGCCCCCAGACTGGCTGGCTGCTGGGGGGCCTCATTTTTCTGCAGTACCCCTGGGGCATCTTGTTCAGCTGACAACACTGAGGACCAAGGATCCTTAAAAGCAAAACTCCGGGCATAAACCCTACAGGACTATCCCTGGACAGGGCCCAAGTGAGCAGCCACTCCCAAGGCCTGAGGCAGAGAACCTTATGGGGAGAGGTGTGTGGAGGGCTCGATGGCCCTAGCTGGGACAGAGAGGAAGGATGTGGTTTTTCCAAGTAGGCTGACAGAGCCAAGCAAAGAAAAGGGGAGGAACTAGGAGGCCAGGGAGTGTTCTAGGGGATCCAGGTAAGAGGAGGAACCATCCCTCCCAGACATCCTGCATCTCAGTGTCCAGGCCACACTCCAGCTGTCTCTTCCCCAGCATAGTATTAATTTGTAACCTTTCAAGCTCTGGATTCCCCTGAGTAAGTTCTACATGGACGGCAGTTGCTGGACCTTGTTTAAATCCCTGAAGGGTGCGTGTAGATGGCCTTTCTCAAAGGAGTCTCCCCTGTAATCCAGAGCATGTGAGCAGCAGGTACAGCCTCAGGGAGACTGGGAGTGTGGGATCCCCAGACCCCTGAGAACTCCAGCTCAGGATCAAACTAGGGCCAAAGCTTGGCAGCTCCCCCTCATCTCCCCAGCTCCTGTCCTGTCCTGGCTGCTACCTGGGCTCAGGTGACCTCCACCGAGGGAAGAGAACAATGGGCTCTTTTGACAGGGAAAGGAGAGCACAGATGAACAGCAGCCACCAGACTGTAATATCAGCCCAAGTCCCTGTCAGATTGCGAGAGGCTGGGGAGGACTCTCCTCTAATCACAGGCCTTGGGGGCCCTGTCCTGGCTGTCAGGGGCTGAGAAGAAAGCCCCATGGGGCTGCTCAGTGCTACAGGAGGAGGGGGCACATCCACCTGGCTGGTTGGGTGGCTCTGCCAGATACTGGGTGTGCTAAGCTCAGATTCCTGGCCCAAGCAGCTTGGCCCTCTCTGTGTGGCTGTCACCTGACACTGGGGCCCAGGTAGGCAAAAGCCACAACAAAACGACCTGGCACTGGGCTGGGCAACTGGTTAGGAACATGCTGTTTATTCAGGGGGCTGAAGGTACAGTGGCAGGAAGGGTCTGGGTGGGGCCTCTGCTGCAGCCCAGGGCAGGTACCAGCCGGGTCTGCTCACACCTGGGTGTGGCTTTTCTATTCTTTGTGCCTGAGTTTCACCAGAGGAGCAAGCAGGCCCCAAGCAACCAACCAACCCCTGAGGTTCCTTTAGCCGGTCTTCAGTAGCCTTATACAGCACCACAGTTGTCTTACTGGGTTTGAGGACCCACAAGTTTTAAATGGCAGGTAAAGAAAGTGAGGCTCCAAGAGGTGAAGTCACCACTACCCTTAAGCCACCCAGCCAGTAATGGGACAAAGCAAATGGGACAAGACCATGATCATGCCTGGGAGATGCCCTCAGGGACATGCTTAGACTGGCAATCCCTGGAGACCTCAGTTTTCTCACCTGTGGAGTGGGGACAACACCCATCTATGAGTCCTCATGACAAGGTGAACCCTGATACAAGAAGCAATTAATTCACCAGGGGCTAGAGAGATGGCTCAGCAGTTAAAAGCACTTGCTGTTCTTACAGAGGACACAGAATCGGTTTCCAGTGCCCAGACAATGGGACACAACCATCCCTAACTCCAGTTTCAGGGGATGTGGTGCCCTCTTCTGATTTCTGGAGAAACCAGGCATGTGAGTGGCACCTATACACACATGCAGGCAACCCCCCCCCCCCAGAAATCTAAAAAACAAACAAACAAACAAACAAACACAAAGCAATTAAACTTACTCAGTACAGCAGCCTCCACAAGGGTGCTGTCTGTAGCAATGTCCACTTCATGGAAGAGGACACCCAGGAACAGGCAGGTTAAGCAACGTCTCCATAGTCACATGGTGAGAGCTGAACCAGAACCAAGGTCCAGACTGTTTGGCTCCAAACCCCTGTCCCAACCACTGTAACACTCAGCCCTGATGCCTGCAGCCCAGCTCTTGAACTAGACTGGGTTCCCTGGCATACAGCTCCTTCTCTGGTTATGGTCACAACTCCTGGCCAAGTACAGGGAGCCCTAATGGCCCTCAGGCCATGTCCCTGCTTCCTGTAAGGCAGCTTGCTGACACTGGGGTGAAGGAGTTTGGCTGGAAGAGGCTGAGGGAAAGACCCAGAACTGGCTTAGAAGCTGGTATGTGTAAATTGTTGGGGTCAAGCTTGCGGCAGGGCCACTATTCCACACCAACTTCGCAAACCAATACCATATAGCCCGGCCTTCAGCATGGAACGCTCAGAAGTGCTGCCCACAGTTCCAGGGTAGACACGCTACGGGAGCAGACCCTAACCTACACGTGGAGAAATTCCTGCATCTAGTCCACACAAGCTGCTCATGTGCCACTTAACGTCCAGCGTGGGGCACCGGTCTGTTGGACCTCCCTACCCTGAGGGTTCCCAGGACCCTCAATTCAGCTGCAGGCCAGGCACACCTGTAGATCCAGGCCACATGGTTCTGCACACAAGTGCACAGTCCTTTAGAGTATGCTGCATACTTAGTTCTCCCCCACACTATGGGCTAGCTTCTAAGATCACATTTACCCTAGAGATAAATATGTTGCCTGCCATGGCCACAGCGAGTGGATGGGGTCAACAGGTGCTAGAGTCTACACAGCATGCTTCTTCATGAATAGAGGTCATGCTTTCCCTTCTATCCTAATCAAAATGGTCAGAGCGACCAGGCCTTTAATCTCAGTATTTGGCAGGGAAAAGCAGGCAGACCTCTGAGTTCAAGGCCACCGTGGTCTACACAGCAAGCTCCAGACTAGCCACTTCTCTAAATGGACCCCTTACCGCTCCTGGCAGACCCCACAGTCCTTTGCCCACACCACATCTACCACCAGGTCTCAGAAACCAGGATCCCCTAATGAGTAACTCCCGCTCCTAATCATTCTCAACCAAGAGCACCTGTAATCCCAAGGTAAAACTAACAATGTCTGGGGACATTTGCATTGTCACATCTAGGCAGAGGCATAAGACTGGCCTCTAGCCAGACCCAGGGTACTGCTAACTCTAGTGTCCAGGACAGTCAGCACCACTAGCCTCAGACGTCACCAGCGTGAGGGTGAGAAACCCTGCTCAGGCCATCCTCTGAATTTAGGGAACGAGGATCCTGAATCACCTTTTCTAGACTGTCACTGGGACACTCACTGCCATGATCACAGTCCAGCCAGGCTCCGAGGGCACAGCTTTCCCCTGGACCACGGGGAGTGGCTGCCATGGGTATGACTCTTCAGTCTCAGATGCCCCGGGATCTGACTTTACCTCCAAATCCTACCCGGCTAGCTCCACCATACTCTCAGAACCCCAAGGTCTTGGGGTATCCAGGTCTTCTCTCCTGTCTAGCCGTCAGCCCCTCTACTTAAGTCTGAAGGGCAAAGGCCTTACCAACTCAAGTTTTAGAGGTTCAGGCCTTGCTCTACATACAGAAGTAGGTCAGGGTTAAATAGTAGGAGGTTGAGGAGGAAGTCCAGGCCACCCCCACACCCCAAGAGGCCATGGATGGAGGAAGCACATTATTTGGGGACCACCAGTGTGGCTTACTGGAGGTAGGGGTAAGACTCCGTCACCCCAGCCCTGCCCCAGCCTCACCCAGAGCCTCACCCTTTGCTGAGCCAGTTTGTCTGGTTTCTGCTGGAATTGGCCACCTTTTCCGAGAGATCCTAGCATCACCAAGGACAGCAATGGCACCTGGGGGTCACTCGGGCCATCTGACGGACACTGACTAGTTCTAAGACTCATACCCAGCACCCAGGAGTGAGGTGTCACCCTGCTCCCAACACCTGCACGAGATGATGCCCTTGTGGCTTCAAAGCCAGCCAGTGAAAGAAGCAATCGCCAGGAAGGCCTGATTCTAGAGGTAGGTGCTAAGAAAGAAAAACTCCAAGGTGATACCTCCCACTGGGCTGGAAAACAGTGGGTGAGCTGAACTCCTTGCAACCTTCCGGGCACAGACCTAGGAGGCAGAGGCTATCAAACAAGTCACAGCAGCTAGGTTTCCTGGGCCACTGTGCTAAGCACAAAGCTCTCCTATTCCCAGTGACACCCGTGTACAAGCCCGCTGCGTAGGTGACCACAGACATCTGCCCAGCCCAGTTCATAAATGGCAAAGGTGTCTTTGAACCTGGGTGAAATCGACTTCTACACCTCTCAGATGAACAAATAAAACAAAACAACACAGAAAGGAGGATTCTTCGTTCACTTTTTCCTTTCAGGGTAAGGAAGCCCAAACTAAGGCCCCTAACAAGAAAAGGAATATTTCCTCGCTGGAGGGGGAGTTCAGTGGCAGAGGGCTTGCTTACTATGAAGGTTTGGGCTCATTCCTCAGTACCACAAAAAAAAAAAAAAAAAAAAGGTCAGGATTCCACCATTCCACCTATGAACATGTCCTGGAGGTTCAGACCCCAGGGGAAGAGAATGGCTGACCCCAACCTACAGACTACTCAGGACACAGATCAAAGCACAGAGAGAAGGCTAATTACCCCCAAGCAGCTCCAGATTGCTAGGTGTCAGGAGCTGGGAGCTAATGAGCCACGCCAAGGTCCCCTTTATGGGCCTGCACAGGCCTTCCGAGGCCCAACCTCACTGAGCAGGCCAGCAGAGCTCCTGGCCTTTCAGATGTCAGCTCTAGCCCCCTCCCTCAGGTGTCCAGCCTGCAGAGAAAGCTTCTTTTTCCTTTGGGACGGTGTCAGTAGGAAGACCCCAGCATGGTCCTCAGCACCAGAGGTCGCAGGACTCAATGTGCTCACCTCTTTTCTGCCCCTCAGCTTCCAGCACAGCCTGGTGAAGAAGCAGGCAGGGCTTATCCTGTTATGCTCATGACAGATAGAAAGACAGAGACTTGCTGGGCGTTGGTGGCACACACCTTTAATCCCAGCACTCGGGAGGCAGAAGCAGGCAGGATCTCTGTGAGTTCGAGGCCAGCCTGGTCTCCAGAGCGAGTGCCAGGATAGACTCCAGAGACTTGCAAAGTCAGATAGCCAGGGAGAGACCTAGGACAAGGAATTCCAAACCCCAGGCCAAATGTCATTCTTCGATAGTATGGTGACATACACCTTTTTGATCCCAGCACGCAGAGGCAGAGGCAGAGGCAGAGGCAGAGGCAAGTGGATCTCTGTGAGTTCCAGGCCAGCCAGAGCTACACAGTGAAACCCAGTCTCACAAACAACAAACGAACAAACAATATGTCTCTTCCTAGGAAAGCTGTGGAGGGGCCTTTCAGGCAGTGTCAGGCGTGGGCCCCCGGGGGAGGAACCTAGAGCAGGGTCTCCCTCCCTCACCCCTTACCTTGTTAAACTGGAACAGATCTCGCTTTAGCCTTTCCCGGGCAGGGTCGTGTCCAGTTCTCAGGAACCGCCTCATCTTGTTTACTCTGCAGCCCCCACCTACAGAAAATAAAGGTGCCCTTGAGCCCAGGCCCAGGCCCAATCCTGCCACACAGCCTCCAGCTGCTTTTCCCCAATCCAGGTTCACCCGCAGTTTCCTGGGTTCCCTCTACTGTGTGGGCCCAGACCAGGAAGTCAGTGAGACCTTGGTTCCTGAAAGCCTGGGCCTGTCCCTCCCTGGCTGATGCTCTCTCTAATGCCACCAGACACCATAATGGGATCAGAAGCTGGGGGAGGAAGCCACTCAGCCTGGCTTTATAGGAACACGGAGGGCCAGCAGGCCCTAAGGTTAATTAGCTTAATTGTTAACCTGTTTTCTGAAAAACCATAAAATTCCAGAAAGGGAAACTTTGCAAGCCTCCCCCAGGGCAATCGGTTGGTGGAAGCAAGGCTGTCCTGCGGACCTCCTTGATCAGAGCCCCAACGAGACAAGCTAGAGAGGGACCTGGGGCAGTTTCAAGAGGAAGGACAATCCGGGTGGGGGTGGGGTCAACACACCTGGGCCAGCCCTTCAGGGAGCAGCCATTGGTGCTCGGGACCCAGTTCTGGCTCTTGGGGTCCTAGGTTAGCCCTAGCTTTACCCCACTCTTGAGCTCCACTAGGTGGTGCCCAGAAAGGTTCCTTTCCACATGTGCGTGGTGGCACACACGTGTAGCCTAGGCAACTGGGGGAGGGAGACAGAGGACCAAGAGTTTGAAGCTAGTGAGGGGCACAAAATGAGACCAATCCCTAAAGCGGCCCCTTTCTCAGGGGCTGTAGTGGACCCCAAATCAAGAGAAGACACCTGAACCTAATAAAGAAGTCAGATTAAGGCCCCCAAACCACCACCTACCATAGGAAGCGCTCCCAGACCAAGGGGGAAACTATATTTGGCTCCTTGGGGGAGGGGACATGAATGGCTGACTTCCAGCTTCCAGTAGCGCAGCCTCCTGCTGACCAAAGGACACTAAGGCCTGTCCCTAGGAATACAGGGGCTCAGGACTATTACTGAACCGGCTTCCTCCACCCCACTACAGTTAAAAAGGAAAACAAACACAGCCGTCAGCCTTTATGGAGCAGCTCGCTGTGGGTAGGGACACAGAGAGAGACAGGCCAACAAAGTGTGCTAAGTGCTCTCACTGGAGCAGAGTGGGACACCCAGTCTCAAATGGGGGTGGGTGGGTGGTGCTTCCCATCTAAGCTAGGCCTGAAAGACACCGGAAGGCTGGGGGCAGAGATGGATACAGTCCAATGGTAGAGCACTTGTCTGTCGTAATCAATCAATCAAATGGCCAGGACTTTCCTTATGAAAGGGCCCTGTGGGGGACGAGCTGCTGGAGGCCACTCCCCAGTGCCCCCAAGGGTCAGTACAGAGTGTATGCATTTGGGTGGGTAACTAGGCCTTGCCACACTGGGAGGGGTCACATCACACTCTGGTACTGAAAGAAAGACCGTGGCCACATCTCCTGCAAATGATCAACAGGGCAGGTCACTTCCAAAACAAACGCCAGGGACCAGTTCCGGGGAACTGTCACTCTCTGGGGACAACCAAACGGCCATTATTTGCAGTGGAGGATGGGGGTGGAGATTAGAGATTCCACATTTTAGGGAAGCCAAACCATGGCAGAGCCTCCCACTCTGGGGGGTGGGGGGTGGCAGGAGGCTGGGAAAGTTTGGGTGCCCACTTCATCTGAAGTCCTACAAGTCAGAGAAGCATAGGGCATGGAAGTACTGGGGGCTCCTGGGGCTGGAAGTGGAAACAGGCCCCAGACTACAGCCGTCCCTGCCTCTGCAGACAGCTGAGCTGGCTCGCTGCACATTCCAGCCGTGGGGGAGGGTGGTGCAAGCCTGTAAATCAGCAGCTCTGGCTCCTGGGGTGCAGGCTCTCCCCTCCCCAGTCGGGGTCACTGGGTCAGAAGGCACAGGAAGCAGGGAGTGACTCCCTGGGAAAGAGACCAGCAGACTCAAGGGTAAGAACAAGAAGAGACAGGGACCATCTGTGCTAAGGAGCCCCCATGGGAGCTCAAAGGTGGAAGGTGGCAGGAGAGAGGGGATGCCCCTCTTGGTCAGGAGGGCAGAACACTCAGTGCCGGCCACCAACCCAAGTGCCCCTCTGAGCACTTCTGTTCACGAGGCCCGCTCCAGACCCCCTGAGTGTACCTGTTGATAGTTTTAAATATTTTTGTTCACATCTCTGCTCACTGGAGAAACTTCAAGTAACCCCAGTAATATGTGAGTACAGGTCCCGGCCACCTCTTGTGGCCACAGGGTAAACACTACACATCAACTCAGTCGGAAGCCACCTGAGAGGGTAAGCGGAACAACTACCTGACAGGAAGCCAGGCCACAGACTAGGCAACTCACCCAAGGTCACCACTGCATCGGAAGCAGCAGAACTCAGCTCTGACCCCAAGAGTGACTAACCCCGGAATGGAGAAGGGACGGCTGTTCCAGGAGCACGAATGTCTAATTATATGCCTGCAGTTAAAAGGCAGGGGCACGCGCAGACTCCCACAGGCCACGAGCTCAAAGCTAACCAAGCAGTTTGGAACCGGATGCCTGGCCACTGCTTTCAGAACCAGCCTAGGACTCAGGGACTCAGGACTCAGCGACCTTGCAGGGGACCTGTTGCTCATCCTCCAGGACCCCACTGGCTTGGGAGAAGAGGGCCCTAGGAGCTGGGACCAAGGTGGAGAGGGAACAGGCATGGGGGTCAGTGTAACTGCCCAGGGCAAGACATGAAAATACTACGCCACCCCTTGTTAGAGGAGGAGGACAGGTTTTGTTTAGTCCAGGCTAGACTCAGTTCAGAAAGCCCCACCCCAAGCCCCCAGGCCATTTACTCCAGATAAACAAGTTCCCTGGAGCAGCCTAGGAAGTCAGTCAGGGGCTGTGAAGCCTGATATGGGGCAGATCCTGCCTGCCCCATATCAGGGAAAAGGGAGGTAAAAGGAAGAAGACGGCATACCTACAGTCCCCAAGTCCAGTGACTCCGGAGGCAGACAAGCTATGAGGGCATGCAACGGTGATGGTGGGGAGAAGCTGCTTCTTAACAACCTGAAGCCAGGTAGTCCAGGGCTGCTGAGAAGACAAAGCCCCCAGGGATTGGGGCGGGAAAGCCTCACTGAGAGTTCAGTCAGGGGCGACGCATTCACTGTATTCTATGGGGCATTATCTTGGCTGTTCCCACACGACCCTCACTGCTCAAATGCCCCTCACGTCTCAGGCTGAAACTGCACCCTCCCTGCCATTCCCACCACAGTTTTCTCCTCTAACCTTGGACCACTGAAGATACTGATTAATCCTATCGACAACCCGGGAAGGACCACCCAGGAAGCAGCGCCCTTACACTGATTAACAGCGTGGCCCATTTCCACTAGGAACCTTGCCCGCACGCAGTGAACGTTCATTACCTGCTGGCTGACCCCAAGTCTGGAGGAGGCAATACCCCTCCCTCCTAAGGACCTCCATGGAAGGAAGCATTGGCCACACAAGGTAGGGGCAGGGCTAAGGGTCAGGCAGGTGAAGTAGAGTGCCTCAGGCCAGGACAAGGAGTGCATTCCAGGAACACTAGGGCAAGTGTAGGCTGAGACCATGGAGGACCCACATAGCACAGATGACACACTGGAAAGATGAAAAGAACAGGGCCCGGGGAAGTCATCTGTCCCACCACACCACACACCCTCTTCTTTTTGGCTTTTTTTTTTTTTTTTGATTTTTCAAGACAGGGTTTCTCAAGCCGGGTGGTGGTGGCACCACACCTTTAATCCCAGCACTTGGGAGGCAGAGGCAGGCAGATTTCTGGGAGTTCAGGACCAGCCTGGTCTACAGAGCTAGTTCTAGGACAGCCTCCAAAGCCACAGAGAAACCCTGTCTCAAAAAACAAAACAAAACAAGACAGGGTTTTTCTGTGTAGCCCTGGCTGTCGAGGAACTTGCTCTATAGACCAGGCTGGCCTTGAACTCAGAGATCCACCAGCCTCTGTCTCCCGAGTGAGTGCTGGGATTAAGGGCGCGCAACACCACTGTCAATCACCACCCATCTTTGACCCTTTACTGGCTGCTCTGCCTCCTGAGTCTGCATCCATCCATTGATTTGTCTGAAGTGTCTTCCTGCCCTTTTAGCAGCAGGATTCACACAAGCAGTCCTCACCTGAGCCGGTCCTGATCTATCTACAATGCTCGGCTGTGCTTAAAATGACCGTATTTTAGGCTAGGGGGATAGCTCAGCCAAGAAGACTGTTGTCTTGCAAGCATGAGGACCTACCTGAGCCTGACCTCCAAACCCCAGGTAAAGAAGCTGGGTGTGGAGGTGTATGCTTTCAATCTCAGGACAGAGGCAGAGAAAGGGGGGTCCCTGGGGCTCACTGGCCAGTCTAACTTACTTGGCGAGTTCCAGATCAGTGAGAGATCCTGTCTCAAAAAACCAGGTGGACAGGGTGACCCCTGCCCACCCCATACATGTGCCCGTACGCACACATGTACCCACTCACATGCATGAGCGTGCACATACACCTAAAAAAATAAAATGATTACTGAGACTCACATGGGTGGGTCACCCATCCATCTACAGTGTTAGTAAGAATGAGAAGAGACATTAAATGACAAGAGACAAGGGACAGACAGGTGAAGGGGCTCAACCCTGCAGAGAAGTCTATTGAGTGAGAAAGCAAGTTAGACTCTACTGAAATATTAAGACACGCAGATACACAATGAAAAGGTTATGACATTTAAGTTAGGTTTATCTTGAGGGTACAGAGGAGGATCAAAGGGGAAGAGATGGGTTCACTGAGTGTGTGTATGTGTCCGTCTGTCTGTCTGTCTCCATCTTGCAGGTAGATTGCTCTGAGGACACAGGATTCCTGTCTAGCCATGTTGACCTCAGTGAATTGGACGCCCATTACAGACCCACATAGACACAAAAGCTAAGACTGCCCAGTAGTCAGCTGGGAGAAACCAGGTGCTAAGAAGAGCCAGCAAAGAGGCAAGTTCAGGAGAT